AAGATATTTTCGTGGTTCCCCTTTACGTGTAACGAAAAATATGATTTTCTTTAAAAAAAAAAAATTAAAAAAAATTTTTAAAAAATTATTCATAAGATCAAAGCCTACTAACTTCAATTTCACCGGAATCGTACAGAATGCCGATTTCGATATGGTTATGTTACAGAAAAGTGGTTTCGAAAATTGCGAATCGTTATTATGCCGAATTGAATATATCAGGTTTTTTTAAACCCCGTGAGAAAACCTAGTAATATGTTAAAAGAACGATAGTAAAAATAATAAATAATTAAACCACTCTTTTCTCTCTAATTAGATTTGTTATAATATTGGCAAAAAAGAAGCCACACATTTCAATACACGATTCAAGTGTCATATTAAAAATACGGAAATTTTCACAATTATGTAGGATAGAAGAAACAGCTTTAATTTACGATAAAATTGATACTAAAGCACATCAAAAGTGCCAGATTCGAAATTTGTGAGTCATATCGAATTTAAAAGATTGGAAATTTTAAGAAACACGTAGTAAACCAGCAAGAACCTATGAAAACACTATCGAAAAGCAAACTTAGATTAACTAAGGTGTCAAAGAGCTTTGAAAGTGATTAATATATTTCGAATGTATATAATTTTGCTGTATTAAAAATATAGGGATTAAAACTTTGGTAATCCATAGCGATAACTATCAGAAAAGTGATCGAAAAACTGCATTGTAGATTTGACACTTCTAAAACTTAGGTACGCTACTAAAAAATATGTCTTTTTTTTATCCCCGAAAAAAAAAGGTACATTTAAATATTTTTGTAATTACCTACCCTAATCGTATTATCGTTTAATAGCTCATATCAAGCTAATTAGCATGTTTTTCAAGTGTTCATATTTTTTTAAAAACTGAATGGGTATATAAAATAAAACTTTTTCGGTGTTAATTATTCGAATTTGTAGTAATGCTAAGAAAACACGTAATAACAGTTTATCACCTTATGTTCAGCACAGCATTTTGAGCTCGTGATAAAAATAACAATGTGAATTAAAATATATTGACTTTCTTTAAATTTAAAATGTAACTGCGAGGACTAGATTCGATTTTAAAATTTATGTTTTGAAGGTAAATGATGAAACCAACACGAAATATTATTTTAATTACATCCACCAGTATATGAATATATACCGGTATATGAATATTAATTATAACATTAATATATTAATTATAATATTACAATCATCAGTGTAAGCAATCAATATAAATACTGTCTCGAAATTTGTTTTGAGATAAAATGTTCGAACCTATACATAGACGATCAAGTTCATAATGAAGCAAATCAAATTCAAGCGATCATAAATTAACTGTACAACGTAGAGTCATTAAATTTTGGTTCAGCTTGCCTTTCTTTTGACTGATGAATTAGAACTCAGATACTCAGTACAGGAAAAAATCAATTCTCTTGAGATGCATCATTTTAACAGATAGTCTGTTCGGTTCTTAAACTGATACGGAAAAGTTGTTTTTATATAGTCTATTTAGTCTGTATAACAACTTCTAGTAGATTCCAGATCATTGTGAAATCCCGTGAAATGTGGTTGTAGAAGACCTTTCTTTCCACTCTGTAAAACTTTTGACAAAAGAACGCATCTAGAGCGTTGTCATTTTTTATGAACTGATGATGAAATTTCTTTGAGTGTCACATTTCATTATAGTTGAAGTTTAAGGATAGAATTCTAATTAGCTCTCACAAGGAAAAAGGGGATTGTAATAGTTCGTGGTTATTTCTCAATTTATTTTAAATTCGATTTTCCCCTCAAATTATGTTACTTAATTGACTCTACAGCTGTAAGCAACTTATCACAAAAGCAGTCCCACAGGTCTGAGTTCCCTTGTTGTAGACACTGTAATAAAAAGTACATTATTATTACCTCTTTATAACACATTTTTTATAATTACAGAATAATAACAAAGGCCTTCGTTTCTTAGTAGTAAGGAGGAAGACTGTTCCTTTGTTTTCATATTGTAAATTTATTTACCATAAATTATGCACCGAAAATAGTTAAAATATTTCTTAAAGTTCTCTAAAATATTTCTCTAATTTCTTTTTATTCATTTTCTGAATAAATAAAAAGAAATTATAAATCATTTAAAAATCTAAAATTTTTTTGCTCTAAAATGAGTCAATATTTTTTAAATAATATTTTTCTATCGAATTAAACAAATTCCTTCTATATCAATTTAAAACTAAATTTTTAAAAATTTATTGTTTTTTGAAACTATAGATTGATTACAAAGACCTTTGTTTCTTATTAGTGAAGCAAAATCAAGGCTTTACTGATGTCTGGACATAAAACAAAGTTCTACTTAGTAGTAAACTGTTAAACATCTGCCTTAACTATTAATGATCTCTCATAGATAGTGAAAAAAGAGGATGAGTTAATTAAAGGGGGGATTAATATTGTTTCCTTTTGATATTGCCCAAATGTCTCTGTGTTCTACATCCTTTCTCCTTTGTGTGTGAATGTGACCCGCCCTATAAACGGGTTTGTGTGAAGTGGACGACGCTGCTCCACCGTCACAGGTGCCCACTGGGTAACGAGAGTAGCAATCGGCAATATATATATATATATAAATCCTTTTTGTTTGGAATTACTCGTTTAAGTTTCTGACACACTTAAATTCAATGAATGTAGTTTTTCGATCGTTTTTTTTTCAAAGGTTAACGCTACGGTTTTACGCATAGCTTAGAAAATATCTTATTTCTAATACGGCATTATTACTATGCAAGGATTTTGAATTTTAGTTATCACTTTTGATCCTGTTTACGTGTGTCAATTTTATCGTAAATTAAGGGAATGATTTTTCGGTAGTTATTGCTACCCATTTTCACGTAATTTCTGAAATCGCGATTTTTTTTAAAAATATATTTTAAGTCTTGAAAGTTTGGATGGGGACATTTAAATAAACTCGTTTTCGACGCGCATTATTTGCGCAAACTTTATCGCAAATTTAAATGACTATTGCAACGCATTTCCACGAGGTTCTTAAAATTTCGATATTTTTAACGCGATATTACTACGAATCACTCATTTCGATAACCAATGACGTGGTTATTATGACGTGGTTTGTTTGTGCCGATTTTGTCGCAAATGAAATTATTTGTAGTCACATGATTTAAAAATCATACATCGCGATTCGTATTTACGCGCTTTAAAATCATATATTTTGATTCTTTCCGCAATTTAAAAATCAGGCATCGTGATTCGCTAAAAATCACGTTTGACATTAACTAGATTTAAAAATCATCCATTGCGATTAGTATTCATGAGATTTAAAATCACATATCGCTATTCGTATTCTGGCGTTTAAAAAAATCATACGCTGTTACTCTTCTCGGAATTCAAAAATCATGCACAGCGATTCGTATTCACGTGATTTAAAAACCACATATTGTGATTCATATTCACCTTTTTAAAAATCCTTCATTGTGAGTCTTCTTCGCGCAACTTAAAAATCGATTCGTATTCACGCGATTTAAAAACCACATATTGCGGTTTTTATTCACGCAATTTTAAAATCACTCGTGTTCAAGCAATTTAAAAATCAAACATCGCTATTCGTATTCACGGGGTTTAAAATAAGGAAAAAAGCACCATCTGGGACAAATTTTCAAAACTGATTAAGTTATTTGTCCAAGTTTAATACAGCCCACAACAATAGCTTCTGTAAAAAGACTGTTTTTCAGGATGAATAGTGGAGCAGGTCAGATGATTAAGTATATAAAATTATCACAATATTTGAAATAGTATCTAAATAGTTTTTCATTATTAAGGAAAATCAGTTCCTTGAAATAAATGTTTTCTTTATTTTTCCTTTTTCTCTCCGCCCCTGCCTCTTATAATTTATTTAAAATTAATGTTTTAAAGAGTATATTCCATACTAAATGTTGAATCTTATTTTGCGCTGAAAGGGCTTTGTTTTCATTTTAATAATTTTTAATCTCACAAACTTTCTTTAAACTTAAATATTTAACTTGCATTTATTTTATTAACTAAACAGAATATCTTTTAAAAAATTTAATTCTATGAACATTAAAATTTGTATTTAAATGGACTTATGTATTGTAGTAAGATAAAAAAAACACGAATTTTCCCATTGTTTTTATTTATTTTAATTTATCTGAATTTTTTTTTCTTGATAAATTTATTCTGATTTTCTGATTCTGTTTTTCTTCCCCCTAAGTAATAAGTTTTGTCGTTCATTTCAAACATTTGAAAGTTTAATTTTATGCTAACATATTACAAGGTTAACTGATAAAAAGATTTATGTGCCTAGAACAATGACGCTTATATAACAATTACTACCTATAATTGCTCTCAGCATGTCTGCCTAAAAACGTGAGCATGCGGCCCTTCATTGCTTAATCTACAGCGCATGTGGCCCTTCACTCAAAAAGGTAGTGCTACCCTAATATAAGGGTGCATTTTTTTTTTAAAATTGCTCAATTATTTTTAAAGATATGACTAAAAACGAAAAAAGTGAAATTAACATTAAGGGGGTCAAAACTTTCATCCATTCTCCTGTCTAAACTATTAAGGGCACAATTTTGAGGTTGTGTCAATCTCTTATATTTTGAACGTTGAGAATCCAAATACAGTCAAACTCCGCTATAGTGAACACGGTTTATAGTGAGCTCCTGGATATAGTGAACGAAATGTTCAGTTCCGTTTTTGCTATACACGTATAATGTTATTTTTTGCGGATATAGTGAACTAAAAAAGCGAGGAAGTTGGATATTATGAACTTTTTTCTGTCTTCGACTGATTTTGTTTAATAATTTTGAAATGTCTACTTCACAATAAATACCTATACTGATTCTTAAAACCATCTATTGAGTGAAATGTAGCCATAAGCATTTTTTCTTGTTTGCTTCTTCTATCTCACTTTTCCATCCATGAACAAAGGCCAACCCAGGCAGATGTATGGAAAAATTTTCCCTGCATCAGCCAAAGATTACTAATTCTTTTTTGTACATAAGACGAAGAGTAATAATAAATAAAAGCAAGTTGACACATTTTTTGTTACTACGTATTATTTTTCAGTCATTATTGGTCATTTATTTAAATAATGCATAATAAAAAGAAGGAGTTTGAAAAGATTAATTAAAATTTTTTGCGGAACGGATATAGTGAACTCCCGGTTATAGTGAACCGAAATTTCGGTCCCTTGAAAGTTCACTATAGCGGGGTTTGACTGTATGTTAAAAAAAAAACATTCTGAGAAAGTATGTTTTTGCGTGACTTAATCATTAATTAGCATATTTGAAGCCACCCTTAGGACTGTTGTTTATTTACGTCGCACTACAGCTGGTTGCACAATGGGCTATTGACGACGATCTGGGAAGCATCTCTGAGGATGATCCGAAGACATGCCATCCCAATTTTGACCCTCTGCAGAGGGGATGGCACACCTGCTTCGGTAGCCCGACGATCTGCGCGAGAAGTAGAGCACTTTATGGTAGAACAGTTTTTCGAGGATCCATACAGCCCACCCTCGGACCCTACGCAGACTTATCCAAGTGGTCACCCACCCGCACACTGACGGCAGTCAGTGATGCTTGACTTCGGTGATCTGCTGGGAACCGTGTCTTAAAGATCAGTCCACTGCGGGGTCACCCTTAGAAATTATTAAGATTATCACTAGTACTTGGAAATCCGATCATTAAAACAAAAGTCCTTATGGGCGATATTTATTCTTTATTTTTTCTTTAAACACTGCCTATAAATCATGATTATAATACTATATACCTTGAGAAGTAAATTAATTACAGTTTACAAAAAATGTTTGTTTAAATGAGTTTAAAAAATTCTATCACTTTATTTAAATGTTTAATTAAGTTACATCCGATATTTAGTACAGTTTTTAGATTAAATAAAAATAGGTTATTTTAGTTTGTTTTAATACTTTTAATTATATCAACATTCTATAGTCCATGCGGCAGAATTTTAATTGAAAAAATCTTCTTAAGACAAAACTGAAAAATAAACTTGGAATACAGAAGTAGTACTTGAAAATACTGTTTTATGATCAGATGCTTTGGGGAAAAAAGAGTTAAAACGGGAGTAAATGAAAAATGGTTTTACACATAAAGAAAACAAAGATTGTTTTTTTTTTTATAATTTGATTGCTTTTAAATTTTTATTTTCATTTACTTAACAAATTAACAGATTGTACAAATTGCAATTTTTCACATATTTATTGATTATTACTTAATTTATATAACAATAGATTATGAATTTTGACACAAACATTTTATGAAAACAAAAAATAATTTTAATGTCAAAATAATTAAATAACATAACTGATTGACCACTTGTAATTCTATCTATATGCAGAAAATAACTTAATATATAGAAAAGCTAATAATTATTTTTTGTAATAAAATTTTAGGTTTTTGGCAATTGTTAGAAACAAAGTCGAAAAGCAGGGCTCGAAAAACCGCACGTCCTCGGCGGTCAAAAATTCCCCGCGGACAACAAATTTCTCGAATCCGACGTCCGCACGGACAGCCATTTTCCCGTTAATGTTCGCGATACATTTTCAATTTCTTACAAGAGTCAAGCACCTCACTTCTAAAATGACCCTCTAATCAAGAAATCCCGTTAATTCCTTCGTCAGACCAAATGCGCATGCTCACTTAATCGGTAACCAAAAGAATAGTTGATCTGTGCATTTGGACAGGTCTTAAACAAGAAGCGTTAAACGCAATTATGAACATCTACCTAAATGGAAAACCCCTTTCACATTTTTGTGCAGAAACCTCTGTAAATCATTGGCTTGATTGTGGAACTGACAAACGTCATATTTGATTAATTTAAAAAGCGCAGTACCCTCGGATAAATTGACATTCCAGATAACTTGACCTTTGTCGTTTTAATTATTTCATAAAAGAAATAAATTATTTCACAAAAGAAATACTAGGTTACTATTAGTAACCTAGTATTTCTTTTATTACTGTATAATGTAATCCTAGTAACTGTAATCCTAGTAACTACTAATTCATTGTGCAATTTATATAAATGTTTGTAATAAATAA